GGGAGCATGCTGACAGGGAGCATGCTGAGAGGGAGCATGCTGAGAGGATGTCTTCCTTCATGGGGAAATCTAGAACCAGGGTATTTTTTCAGAATAATGTGTCATCCACTCAAGGTGGAAATGAGGAGGACTTTAAAACCCTCTAAGCGAGTTGTTAATCTTTGGACATCTCGGGGAGCTGTGGGAGGTGAGTTATTGAATGTATTCAAGGTGAACTTTGGGAAGCAAGTGTCCCGGGGAACAGACTTGAGGCCAAGATGGTCACAATCATATTCAATAACAGAACTGACTCAAGGGGCTGAATAGCCAACTCCTGATTCTCTTATGTTCTTATGACGCTCCTATGCCAGTCAATGAGTTGGAAGCATGGTCAGAGTTATGTTAGAACTCAGCATAAGTGGTCCAATTACAGCAAACAGAAGCTATTTAAGGAGACTGTACAAATTACATCAAATGGAACTCATACTAAAACTACACCAAAGTGAAAAGCGGGATAACTTCTCCAAAAAAAGGCAGTCAGTGATCGATAGGAACAGAAAACCAAATGCATAAAGTTACTCCCAGTCACCTACAGCAGATTTTCCTGCAGATATGACTGAGGGTAGAATTAGACAATCATCTCCATTCAGGCTAGAAGTGACAGCGTCACTATAAACTGCTTAAAAAGCAAAGAAACTGAGGTAGGGGATGAGGAGATCGGTATAATTGGTCAGAGATAGCCCAGGGGCTACAAAGGTGGAAGGATTCTCTCCCTGAACTCCTGTCTGGGGAAGCTGTGTGGGCTGGATGATCTGCTCCGTTTCCCAAGGTGCTGAGTAGACCGTTTTGGATGGAGGTGAGGAAGAACCTCTTCATTCAAAGGTTAGTGAACCTGTGGAACTGTGTACCACAGGAAGCTGTGGAGGCCAAGTTACTGGACATATTCAAGAAGGAGGTGGATAAATGTTTACGTGTTAAAGGCATCAAAGGTTATGGAGAGAAAGTGGGGCCATAACATTGAGATAGAGGATCCGCCATGATCATATTGAAGGGCAGAGCAGAGTTAAAGGGCCTACTCCTAGTTTCTATGTTTGTGAAATTTGAAGGAAGAGGTGATCAGCCCCAAAATCACCCTCATCGACCTTCCAAACTATCGCCTCCCCCCCCCCCCCACCCCCGTGAGTATCATTGGCCAGCCAAGCCAGTTTGGAAGAGGTGGCAACTGGAGGGTTGAGTCCAGTTGTGGTCACCACACATGAAGAGGAATGTTCACAAACAAACTAATGCCACTGCCTCTTAAACCAAGAGACAAACTCTTAGAAATAAAGAGGTTTGGCATAAAAATCATGAGCTATAATTTTTATTCAAACATTCACAAATACAGAACAACTGTAGGAGTTCTGAACCTCATTAATGGCTTGTTTAATTTGTAACCCAATCAGGGCTCCATACAAACACTGCATCTAAAAATCCTTCAAATAAAAGGATAAATAAAAACCTATCTCATCAGTTGTGCATTCTGTTTGAACAGATGGAGAGCAATGTTTGTGAATGAGACAGGTTTCTGGAGCATTTTCTGTGGAGATTGACAATTCTGTAGTCACAAGCTTTGTAAAATGATTGGCTGCCATTCGTCATAGAATCCCTGCAGTGCAAAACCAGGCCATTCAGCCCATCAAGGTTTACACTGACCCTCTGAAGGGAACCCCACCCTCACCCTGTATTTTCACCACAGCCAATCCACCTAGCCTGCACAGTAAAGGACAATTTAATATGACCCATCCACCTAACCTGCACGTCTTTGGACTGTGGAAGGAAACCCACACAGACACAGTGAGAATATGCAAACTCCACACAGACAGTCACTCAAGGGTTGGAATCACAACAAGGTCCCTGGTGCTATGGGACAGCAATGCTAACCACTGAGCCACCATGCCACCCTTATTGTTTTGAAAAACAACATCACCCATGTAATTTGTACAAAGAAGTGGTTTTTCACTTTTCCATCTTGTGTCTGCTGAAACAGTCCAGGATCACAGGTCATTTCAACAGACTGAGGATATGTAGAGACAGATCAAAATGGACTGTCACTAACTGTAGTCACATTAATGATAGAAACAGACAGAGAGGGAAAGAGAAAAGGAATCAGATAGACACTTGAAGAGACTAATTTGCACAAGGCAGTGGGGAACGTATGGGATTAATTCAACTAAGCTACAACAGTCCAGAACGGATACAATGGACCAAATGATCTTTCTTCACCTGAAGGGACATCAATGCTAATTATCGGAATTTTCACATGTTTCATCGTGGCCAGGATGTTGGCGTACAGCTCCTTCAATCCTGTCTCGTCTGAGAGTCCCAGCACAGCATCTATTATCAGGTTATAGGCATCATTGATCAGCTGGACCTACAGACAGAAGAAAGCAGCTTTAATGACAGGCCCCATTTCATCCTTCACAAAGTCTGAGTAAACTAAACTGAATCCCATCTTTAGACTTCAGCTCCTCCAAATTTCTGCGGTTCAGTACCTGAACAAAATACTTGATTTAGAGGCAGCTTTACACTGAATGTAACACTGTGCTGTCCCAGTCCTGGGAGTGTTTGATAAGGACAGTGTAGAGGTAGGTCTACTCTGTATCTAATCCTGGACTGTACCTGTTCTGGGAGAGTTTGATGGGGACGATGTAGAGGAAGCATTATTCTGTATCTAACCCGATGCTGTCCCTGTCCTTAGAGTGTTTGATGGGAACAGCGTAGAGGTAGTTTTACTCTGTATCTAACCCTATACTGTGTCTGTCTTGGGGGTGTATGTTGGGGACAGTGTAGAAAGACCTTTACTCTGTATCTAGCCCCGTGCTGTCCCTGTCCTGGGAGTGTTTGATGGGATGGTGTCGAGCAAGCTTTACTCTGTATCTAACCCTGTGCTGTCCCTGTCCTGGGAGTGTTTGATGGGGACAGTGTAGCAAGGGCTTTACGCTGTATCTAACCCCGTGCTGTCCCTGACCTGGGAGTGTTTGATGGGGACAGTGTAGAGGGAGCTTTACTCTGTATGTAACCTCCTGCTATCCCTGTCCTCAGAGCGTTTGATGGGAGGATGGCGTGGCGAGAGTTTTATTCTGTATCTAACCTCAGGTTCCTGAAATTAGGCCTCCTTGCTCCCATTTTACACTCAGAAACCTTCATAAGGTCAGAGGCTACTTGTGTTGTGCCTATTTTCTGGATGTACAATGGAAACCATTAGGTGCAATTTCTACCAATCAGTTCAAAGAACAATTGTTGAAATGCATGTTCCTGTGTTCCTTATGCTGAGAATGAGATTTTTAAAAACATTTTGTTTGTATCCCTCCTAACATGTTAGAGAAATTAATAATATCAGTTTTGATTACCTCAGCTGGAAGGTAGGACAGGAATGGAATATCCATTTTCTCGCATTGAACTGTGAAGTCCAGGAAGGTGGGTTTGCAGGAACGTTTTGGGTAATAAATGGTTGGTTCGTAGTTCTGTCAGAAAAGCAAAGCATTGTTTATTAGCAAATTGTTTTCCAGAAGTGTCATTCATCTTAAAATTCTCTCCATGGTCTCACCTCTCACCCTCTCTCTAACGTTTTCCAGCTTTCAATGTTCCAAGATATCTATGCTCCTCCATTCTGGCCTCTGGTTGTAAATCCTTCATCAATCAAAGCTCTGTGTTGGCTGCCTAGGTCTCAACCTCTAGAATTCCCTCCTCTCTGATCCTCTACATCTTTCTACTTCTTTATGACCTTTCAAAACGTACCTCTTTGACCACATTTTTGGTCGCCTGTCCTAGATACCTCCTTGTGCAGCTCAACATCAAAGTTTTGTCAGCTCCTGTGAAGCACTTCAGGATATTTTGCTCACCCAATGTGCTGTATAAATGTAAATTATTTCCGAATTATGAAACCTACAGCATAATGAGAGGCCAAGCATGGCATCATGTCCATAGCATCTGGAGCTTTGCGTTCTAATTCCAAAACCCCGCCTTTTTCCTGCAACCTTTCATTACTCATTTCATTCAAAATACTGACCCAATTCTCTTTTAAGGAAAATGATAGTTATTGCTTCAACAGTACTTGTCATTTCCAGTATTAACACCTCTCTGCATGACAACATATTCTTCAAATATTCTCTTTGTTCCTCAAGCTCAGAATCTTCCTGCCGTCCAGGATTAACTGTCCACTGTCTGCTGAAAAGATGGTTCAACTCTTGGCAGGAGAGCTTTCATCATGACCTGTCTGAGTGTTAGTCAGCTTTATGGTTCCCTCAGGAGTTCAGTGTATATTTACTGCAATGATACCAGACACCAAGTGTTCAGTTACCAGGAGGGAATGCACAAATTGGAATTGTTTTCTCTGCATTTTAGCTGGCTAACAGGTAAAAAATTTCACAATGATCTGGGGGAACAGTTAATATAGGTCAGGAGAAACTATTTTTGCTGTCTGGGAAGTTGAGGGCTCGGGGGCAGAGTAAAAATTTGAGACAGAGCTTTCAAAAGCAAAATTAAGACATTTATGCAAAGGTTAGTGCAAGTTTGAAACTCTCTTCCACAAACAGCACTTGATAGTGGACCAATTGGAAATTCTGCATCTGAGACAGATCGAGTCAACTAAATGAGGCGAAGATGGATTTATGGAGTGAGATTGCATTGCATGTGCAGAGCAGGCTGGAGGGGCAGAATGGCCTTCTCCTGTTCCATAACTTCACATTTCACCCTTTGAGGGAAGAGAGCAAAAATACAAAGAGCAAACACTCAAATTGCAGAATAAATTGCCAGGAAAGAACAATGGGGCAAGAGACATTCAGAGAGTTTCTGGAGCTGGTATGCAGTATGTGAAGTGTCAGTAGTGACCAAGGATCAGAGACTTAGAACTGCAAAGGTTATTGAACAAGTAGGTGGAGTTCAGTTCTTTTGGTAAAAGACAGAATGACTTCTGATCCCTTTGCAATAAAACCTCTGTGCCTAAGCTTGAGCTATATATATCTATTTATGATGGGTTGATAGATCTATATTTCACCTCAGGAAGGATTGCATACCTTGTTTGCTATGAAGTATGTGTGTATTATTAAAACATGTCCTGACAGCAGTTTTCAATTTCATATTTAACCCTGACCAATAACTCTGTCCTCTTCCCCCACCCTCCCGTTCACCTGTTACAGTGAGTACTGAGCAAAAATTACCCCTGCTGTTTGTTTGATGGGCTGCATTTAGACTAAGTGTAGAATATCAGATAGCCATGCACAGCACTAAGGTCCCAAACTTGATGGAGCTCAGTCTGGGCTCTCACAGTCAGGTAGGATGCTGTCTGCACAATTAAGACAGTTAGTAGCAAACAAACCTGCTGTAGGAGGATTCAAAAAGCAGTTTCGCATATTCAGTGGAGTTCCCCAGGAGTCAGCAGTTCTGTTTCTGGGGTGAAAGATTACACAATCAGATTCCACTCCAGGATCTGAGTGCAAAGATCCTGGCTGGCACATCCACTGCAGGGTTGAGAGGGTGCTGCAGTGTTGGCAGTGCCATCTTTTGCTTGTGATGTTAAAGAATATCACAACCCCTCTGCAAAGAAGATGAAACAATATCTTCTCTGATGTACCCTGGCCAAGACTTACCTCTCAATTAACCACTGTCTCGGTGAAGAAATTTCTCCTCATCTCAGTCCTATATGTATCTCTTGTATCCTTAGACTATGACTCCTGATTCTGGAACTAGTTTAGTTTGGGATTATGCTTGGCATGAACTGGTTGGACCGAAGCGTCTGTTTCCGTGCTGGATGCCTCTGTGACTATGACTGTATGGACTCCCCTACCATCAGGAGCATCCTTCCTGCATCTAACATTGTCTAGGCCTGTTAGAATTTTATAGATTTCTATGAGATTCCCCTCATTCTTCTAAACTCCAGTGAATATAATCATATTGAATCTAGCCTGTCTTCATATGTCAGTCCTGCCATCCCAGGAATCAGACTGATAAACTCTATCCATAACTAAAACATCCTTTGTCAGATAAAGAGACCAATACTGCACACAATACTCCAGGCATGGTCTCATCAAGGCCTTGTACAATTGCAGTAAGACATCCCTGCTCCTGTACTCAAATCCTCTCACTCTGAAGACCAACATACTATTTGCCTTCCTCACCACCTGCTGTACCTATATGCATCGACTTGCAAATCCTTCCAACACACACCAATGACAGGAAGTAAGAGTAGGACAGATTCCTGGGTAACTGTGTGATGGAATGGAATTTGGAGCCTCTCCCATCATTATCCAGACTATAACCTGTAGGCAAAAGTGCTGCCGCTGAATCTCAGACTATCAGTGACCTCTAACACATCAAAATGACTTACCCTGAGCTTTAATTCATGTAAAGGTTCTAGTCATGAAACAATGTAATTTATTAAGATACACTAATTATTAAGATGTACTAGTTACTAAAAGGGCCTAGCTATTAAACAGAGCTCATTATTAAGGGAACCAAAAACAGAAATTGGTGGAAATGCTCAGCAAGTCTGGTAGCATCTGTGGAGAGAAATCAGAGTTAATGTTTCGGGTTGAGTGATGCTTCTGTTCAGTGAAGCAGGAATAGAGTCAGAGTCACAGTGTCATACAATCACAAAGTTACAAAATCATAGAGTCATAGAACATAGGACAGTACAGCACAGTACAGGCCCTTCAGCCCATGATGTTGTGCCGACCTATTATCCTACTAAGATCAATCTACCCTGCATACCCTACATTTTACTATCATCCATGTGCCTATCCAAGAGTCGCTTAGAAGTCTCTAAAGTATCTGACCCCACTACCATGGCCAGCAGTGCATTCCACACACCCACCACTCTCTGTGTGAAGAACCTACCTCTGACATCTCCCCTATACCTTCCTCCAATCACCTTAAAATCATGGCCCCTCGTAATAGTCACTTCCGCCCTGGAAAAAAGTCTCTGGGTATCCATTCTATCTATGTCTCTCATCATCTTGTAAACCTCTATCAAGTCACCTCTCATCCTTCTTCCAATGAAAAAAGCCCTAGCTCCCACAACCTTTCCTCATAAGACCTGCCCTCCAGTCCAGGCAGCATCCTGGTAAATCTCCTCTACACCCCCTCTAAAGCTTCCACATCTTTCCTGTAATGAGGTGACCAGAACTGAGACATACAGCATGGAAACAGACCCTTCAGTCCAACTTGGCCATGCCAACCAGACATCCCAATCTGACCCAGTCCCATTTGCCATCATTTGGCCCATATACCACTAAGCCTTTCCTTTTCACCTCCCCATGCCTTTTGAATGTTGAAATTGTACTAGCCTCCACCACTTCCGCTGGCAGCTCATTTCATACATGCACCACCCTCTGCATGAAAAAGTTACACCTCAAGTCCTTTTTAAATCTTTCCCCTCTTACTTAAACCTACACCCTCTAGTTTGGGACTCCCCTACCCTGGGGAAAAGACCATGGCTCTTCACCCTATCCATGACCCTCATGATTTTATAACTTTCTATATGGTCACTCCTCAGCCTCTGACACTCCAGGGATAAAAGCTCTAGCTTATTCTGCCTCTCCCTATAACTCAAACCCTCCAGCATCCTTGTAAATCTTTTCCAAACACTTTCAAGTTTCACAAAATCTTTCCAATAGCTCGTGGTTGTGCTAAGTCTTCGGAAGAGGTTATCCAATTAATCCCACTCCCTACCTCCTTCCCCAGTATCCTGTAAATAGTACCCTTATGTATTTCCATTCAATCATCCGTGATAGTCAAATAGGAACTGCAGTGATTTATTGTGAAAGTGGAGAAAACTGGATGTGAGGAACGTTGGATCAGCTATGATCCTATTGAATCACACAGCAGGCTTGAAGGGCTGAATGGCCTACTCCTGTTCCCATTCATTATGGTTTAGGGAGAAGAAACAACCACCACCTCGTCAAAGGGCAATTCAGAATTGGGAACAAGACAAAAAAATGTAACATCGGCTAGCATTATCTACATCCTGGGAAGAAATTAAAACAAGATTTGTATCCATGACAACCGCTGAGAGATTGAATATATCCTGCTGTTGCAAATCAGTGGCAACAAGATCACAGAATGAAGCTGAAGGTAGAATTATCCAGTTTGTTGGTTCGGTTTCTTCACAAGGAACCAAGAAACAGAAGTCTCAGGTGTTTTTCAGAATCCTAACTCAGGCAGGAGCTAACATCTGCTGTTACACAGATGGTGGAGACAGGCTGGTATCTGTGAATCTTCTCTCTCCTGAGAATCTGACAGGCATCAGCAATAAATTATTTAAACTGCTCCACCACAGAGAAGGATCCAAGTTGAAAATCCTAGTTCAGCACTGCTAATGAGCAGCGTCGCTTCAAGCACATCCAGAGAAATTTCACATGTATTTGGATGGCCTGAGAGTCTGGTCTTGGGCAGCCATTTTGGGTTGCCATAGGAACTCCTCAGAACTTCCCATCAAATGATCTCTGCGTTGTCCACCATCAACAAGGCACAAGTTAGGAGTGTGATGGAATACTCCCCACTTGTCTGGATAGGCAAAGCTCCAACAGCACTCAAGAAGCTTGACACCATCGAGCACAAAGCAGCCCGCTTGATTGGCACCAAATCTGAAACAACTCCAGAGAGGCTGGTATCCTGTCACTAAGTCACCCTTTATTTACTTACGCACAGTGCTTGACTACAGTACTGCTTCATACAGAGTCAGGCACCTCAGTGTCAGTATCCCTGACACTCACCCTTTTTAAATGTCAGCCAGGGCTCCCTGATTGGACCAGGTTAACAGCCCCAATCAGGGTACTCCATATCCTGTGAGGACCACCTGGCTGACCACATTACAATCACTACAACATCCACAAACATCCACTCCGTCCATCACCGATGCTCAGTACAGCAGTGTGTACAAACTACAAGATGCACTGCAGAAATTCACCGAAGATCCTTAAACAGCACCTTCCAAACCCACGACCACTTCCATCTAGCAGATGTATGGGAATACCACCACATGCAAGATCCCCTCCAAGCCACTCACCACCCTGACTTGGAAATACATCACTGTTCCTTCAGTGTCACTGGGTCAAAGTCCTGGAATTCCCTCCCTAAGAGCATTGTGGATTTACCTACTTCAACATGGACTGCATTGGTTCAAGAAGGCAGCTCACCACCTCCTTCTCAAGAGGCAACTAGGGAATGGCAATAAATGCTGGCCCCACCAACGATGCCCACATCCCGTGAATGAATGAAAAAAGTCAAACAAGCTTCAGTCTTTACTATTTGATGTAGCAAGATGCTTTCATGTTTCAAAATCATAGTGGACCTCATTGTCTGACATCAGATTTATTTGATCCGGAATCAACTGGAATCAATGTGGACCCACTTTCCTGTTGGCCTTTTCCAGAGACTCCAGCCTATCACCAGATTCCCCAAGTGACCTACTGTATGTGATGGTGATGATGCCAGATTCAACATACACAGGGGACAGTGATACCATGAGGCTATTACAAACGTATTTCATTGGATGTGAAGCTCCTTGGCAATCCTGAGGTTGTGAAAAGTGCTATATAAATCCAAATCCTTTCTTATTGTAGTACAGGTCTTTGTAATGTAAAATATAGATGATTGAAGTGAAAAAACACCAGGCATGATTGTCAATATGACGCCTGTCTTCCATTTATTGGGACACGGTGAGTTATGTTGCAAATGTTACCAAGGGCAACAGCATCCTTATCAAACATCACTAGTGGTTTCGGCAATGGCACATTGGGTGGGCCCTTCACTTCCAAGTCACAGTTCTCAGGCTTGTAATCCCACTGCCAAGACTTAGAGTTATAGAGTCATAGAGCTGTACAGCACAGAAACAGACCCTTTGGTCTGAATCAACCATGTCAACCAGATATTCATATTCAAAGTGATTTCCATAATGAAAGTGTCACAATGTATCAAAAATACTTCATTAGTTGTAAAGCTCTTTGGGATTTCCCGAGGATAGGAAAGGTGCTACAGAAATGGAGAGTATCACCACGTACAAGTTCCCCTCCAAGCCACTCACCATTCTGACTTAGAAATATATCAACGTTTCTTCAGTGTCACTGGATCAAAATCCTGGAATTGCCTCCCTAAAGGGCATTATGGATGTCTGTACAACTCCAGGATTGCAGGGGCTCAAGAAGGCAGCTCACCATATGTCATTTAATGATGGGCGAGAAATGGTGAGTTAGTCAGCAATGCCCATGTCCCATGAATTAATAACAAGTCTTTGATTCCATTTTGACTATTTTGACAATAATTTATGAATCATTTAGAAACAAGTTTACTTTCATTTGCAAATCTGCCCTTCTCAGGATGAAAGCGTCAGTGTCACTCAGTGAAACCTCCCCAATACCTGATGGCACAGATGTAGACCCTGCACCTTCCCAGATACCTACAAATGTATGAAGGTGTCTCGCGCATGCCAGACCAATAGCTCCATTCTGCTCCTGGCCACAGATCACCAATATCGTTGGCTGTTTCTTTGACAGCGAGCTCCGTGGAAAAGCCTGAGGAGGAAAGAGAAAGATCATCAGAGCCTTTGCCAACTCTGCACCCTAACCTTAGGGGAGGTGATGGCCTAGTGGTTTTACTACTGGAGCGTTAACCCAGGTAATGTTCTGGGGACCCGGGTTCGAATCCTGCCACAGCAGATGGTAGAATTTGAATTCAATAAAAATCTGGAATTGTGAGTCTAATGATGACCATGAATCCATTGTTGGAAATATGTTGGGAAAAACCCATCTGGTTCACTAACATCCTTTAGGGAAGGAAACTGCCATCCTTACCTGGTCTGGCCTACATGTGACTCCAGACCCACAGCAATATGATTGACTCAGATGGGCCTGGTCAGTGATGTCCTCATCCCATGAATGAATAAAAAACCTCCCAACTTGGTGTGCCAACTCTGTTCTCTGTTCATCACTCAAACAGAAAGAAAGACTTGGGTTTGTACAGTACCTCTAACAAGCTCAGAACACCCCAGAGTGCTTTATGACCATAAGAGTGCAGGTTGCTACTGTTGTATCATAAGAAATTAATTTGCACACAATAAAATTCCAACCTTTGGACCAGGAAAGTGGGAAAGCACTTTGCATTTCCTCACCAGAGTCTCATGGGGCCCAGGTTTTAATTGCCCCATCCCACATCATTCCCTTGACACATCTATCCTTCCAACCAATCAGAAAGTGAATAGGCTGTTCATAAACCACTTAATGATTAAACATAACTCGCAGTTATACAGGTTTATTTTCTTTTCCTCCCTAAAACTGTATGAAAGTCTTTGAAGTAAATGAGGGAAATAAAAACAAACACACAATATTTCTAGCATCTCTGCAGACCATTCTCCCAGGTCAATGCCTGGAAATTAATCTTCAATTTTTGGAGAGTTTATAATCCCCTGGTAAAAAAAACAACTTGTAGAAATTAGAGAAAGAATGAAGGAGAGACACACTAATATGGACACACTAATGTATTTCCATATGGGTCTACAGCAAAACAGGGTAAATGGTTGCCTGAATCCCAAGTGTAATCCCTGTCTGCAGAGACCTGAGTCCTATTAAGCGAGGCTGATATTCCCATTGCAGGACTGAGGGGGTGCTGCTCTGTCAGAGGTACCATCTTTACATTGAGACAATAAACTGAGTCTCTGACTGCACACTTAGGTGAATACAAGAGATCCCATGATGCTGTTTCAAAGAGGAGTTATTGCTGATGTCTTGAACATTCAGCTGTCAGCAACATTACTGAAACAGATTATTGTCAGTATTCTGTTGGTTTGAGTGTGTTGTATGCTAATTGGCTGCTGTATTTCCTACATTACAACAGTGACTGCATTTCAAAATGAGTTTCACTGGCTGTAAAGTGCTTCGGGATGCTCTAAGATTCATAAACACGAGTTCATTCATTGCAGATAAATCAAAGCATCATTTATTTGTAAGTTTCAAACTATAGTCAATGTTTGATAGCAAGCCTGCCCCGTTGAATAGCAGCAATCCCTATGTGACAGGAGAGTTTATCTCCTGGTTTTGTACTCCCAGTTAGGGGCTGACTTTGAAAGTTGTAAAGTGAATAGTTGGATCATGGCCTGTGATTTTCCACTTGTTAAATTAATGGACAGAAATTTCTGATCCATTTCCAGCAACTGCTTTTCACAAGGAGGTGAGGGGGCGAGGGTGTTCCACGCTGAGAGTCTGAAGCAGTTCCGAAAATTGATAGCACACGCACATCTCTGTCTGTGCAAACTTTGTGCATATTCCCAATCAACAGAAAAATAAGGATTGATGTAATGTGTTCCTGGGAAATGCCCGCTGTGTGAAAATCCTAAAACTCTGATGTCTGAGTGGAGGAACCCTGCTGTGTATAGCAATTTGCCAAGTCTGGCTGCTGGTTTGTGTGGACTCTGTTAATCGCAACACAATGGCAGTGCTCAGCTCTACTCACCAGAAGAGGTAGAGAAGGATCCCAGGCATCTTTGAAATGAGTGAGGTGAATGAGCACATTGAGGTGAAGAGAAATAGAGAGAAATTAGCCCTGGAGCAACAGGAGAGCATTACAGGTTGTTCAGAACGTGTGACACTTGTAAGCCTGAAGTCACAATGCACCAGGTTATAGTCCAACAAGTTAATTTGACAAAAGATAATTAAAGTGTCAACAGGTAAGTACAAATAGTATGAGTAGAGGGGCGACAGGCTGAATAACAAGTCTATGCAAACCTGCAATGGGATTTGGCAACTAACAGGTTAATATAAGTAGCAACATTTTTGATTCTACTTTTTCAAGCTAAGAATAGAAATATAACTTCAAAGTGTCAGCTATTGAAGAGTGTTATCACTTACCAGTAGCCAGACTGGAGAAAATGGAGTCCAGGTGAGTATGGAAGTCATTCCCATTCATCGTGCCCCTGACAGGGAGAGATCGTCAGCTCCTCCTCTCCCCCCACAACCACCTGGTTTCCATTTCAGATGTCAACCAAAATTGTACAACATCAATGTTTCAAATTTCTAAACCATCATTTCTGCCATCAAAACTAAATAACTAAACTAGACTCATCATTTTTCCTTAAACTAGATCACTTGATCATTAAAACCACACTGGCAACAAGCTATAGTGACCAACTCTTCAGGACACTTGAAGATCCACTACTGGGTAAAGCTTCCTCATCTTCACTGGGCTTGTCAAAGCCGAAGATTGGAGGAGTGAAGGGAAGATCGAAAGGAGTGAGGAGTCCACTGTGTTTTGAGTTCCGAGGAGAGAGTGATCGGAGGAAATGCAATCAGTCCTGACTCCAACACAGTGAGGAGAGAGAGAGTGTTTCAGGAGGGGACTCTGAAAAGAATGTGACAGAAGAGTTCAAAGGAGCAAATGTAACAGAAGCAGTGAACCAAGAAAGGCTGCGACAAAGGGAGAGGTGAAAAGGTGAAAATGCTGGAGTCATAGAAATGTAAGAAATCAGAAATGTAGGACTAGATCATTTATCTCCATCCCTTCCACTTCTTCAATTCAATATAGACCACCAGGCCTTCTCCGAATCCCCAGATTCAATAAGATTATGCTTGATCTTCTATCTCAAATCCAGATTGCCCTTAATTCTCACAGTACCCAAAAATCTACCAATCTTAGTGTTCAACATATTAACCATAAAAGCTTCCACAACCCTCTAGGGTAGAGAATTCCAAAGATTCACCACTCTTTGTGCAAATGTTTTCTCTCCATTTCAGTCCAAATTAGTCATGCCATTTTTTGCTACCTGCATTTCTTACATTACAACAATGATTACAATTAAAAAATACCTCATTGAGGGCCTTTGGACACCCTAAGGTCATGAAAGGCACTATATAAGTGTAAGTCTTTCCTTCCTTATCCTGACGCCATGGGTAAAGGTTTCTCATTTACTGTTATCTTTCCCCCTCATGAGATCTCATAGAATCTCTACAGTGCAGAAAGAGGTTGTTTGGCCCATTGAGTCTGCACTGACCCTTCAAAAAGCATCCCACCCAAACCCCGCCCTTTACCCAGTCCCCATAACCCTGGATTTAGTATGGCCAATCCACCTAAGCGGCACATCTTTGGACTGTGAGAGGAGACTGGAGCACCCAGAGGAAACCCACACAGTCACAGGGAGAATGCGCAAACTCCACACAGTCGCCCGAGACTGGAATCAAACCCGGCTCCCTGGTGCTATAAGGCAGCAGTACTAACCACTGAGCCACTGTGCCGCCTAGTGCCTGGTCTGCCATGAGTCTCAGTGATTTCTCACTTAATCTCCCACCTCTTCACCTTGTTAATGATGCACTCAGGTTTTTGGGCCCTTGGGGAACTGCACAGCTAGAGAGGCAGGAGCTGTCATCACTGCCAGGAACTTTCAAAATTCACCCTGGTACCATATTTAAGGGTCAGCTGTAAGCCAGGACTGGACCTCGCTGTGCAGTGACCGACAGCTCTCCTTGACAGCGTAGCCCAGAGGATGGAGAGCTTGCCCCCTGCTTCATGGACGTGGACAGCCTGTGGTGCTGCTGGCTAGGGGGGTGGGGGAGGGGGGGTAGTGGGGAGTGAGGGCGCGGAGTTGGGGGGTGGGTGCGAAAACTTTCCTCTTTCCTGGTGACGGCCACAAGAGGCTACACTCCAGATCAAGTGAGTCTGAGCTCAGATCACAGCCTGTGTCAGTGCTGTGTCTCAGGTGAACCAGGACACCTGGCAGCAGAGGAAGAAGGCCAATGATCTTCTGTGCTCCGCAAGAATATGTGCCACCATCTTCTTCCTGCTACCTCACACCTCAATGTCCCACCATGAACTCTACACCTGCCACTGTACACACCCTATTGTACGCATCTTGGCCACTCAAGAACTCTCACTCACTTCACCCACCCAAAACGACTAACCCTTCCTGCCTTTGGCACATCACTCTCACGCACTGAGGACATCTCACCAGCTGCCCTGCTCCTGCCCTTCCTTTCACTATACTCACCCCTTCCTTTTGTCTCTTTGCAGGAAATCTTGGCCCATCCTCCAGGATGGTGTCTCAAAGGCATCCTGACTTGTAATCTCCAGACTGGGTGTGTTTGACCTACTCTGACCATGGGCCAGTCCTGGGTAGCAACGGCACAAATGTCCAGACTCTGGTAGGACCAAGCACCTGACTGACCATGCCCAAGCCTACGCAGTGTAATCAAAGATGCCAGCTGATTGGCTGTGATGTTACCCCCAACTAACCATAATCTCCCTTCACCCCACAGGGGCTGTTCCCCATTGACTATCACACACACGTGTATTTGGTTGGGAGGTATGCAGTGTGTAAACTGCTGGCCTCACTCAGGTCTGACTCTGACAGAAGACGGTGCCAAATGGTTTTGTGTTCACCTGTTTGATTGGTCAGTGACCCCACTGAGCCAGGCTCCTTGCCTTTCCCTCTGCACTAATATGCAATGCCAGCCACAGAGGCTAACAGCCTGTAAATCAGTGCGAGGCAGACAGAGGCTTGCACCCTCCAGGTCAGTGCGAGCAGAGAAAG